AAAAAATGTATAACTAATAAAGATTACTTAAAAAAAAAAAAGAAGGTGGTAAATACATGTGATAGTGTATTTTCATCACATCTCAAGAAAGATGCTGTGACTATGGTAGCCATTCTAAATAAATTCTTTTATGTTGCTCATTTAATCATGAGGCATAGGTTCACGGCTTTTTCTGTGATGTAATCAAAATATATACTGATATTAAAATAAACATTTTTGGACTTTTTGCAGCTTCTCTTTCATTTTTTGTAAGTGTTTAAAATTTGGTTTTTGATTGCTGATTTTGAGTTTCTTAATGATTTTGATTTCTTTTAAAGTAGTGGTGCTCAAAAATATTTATATATTTTTCTGTAAAATTGGGAACAAATAGTCTGGCCAATAAAGATAGGTATGTATGTAAATATACTATTGAACATTTTTATTGTGTGACCTATTTATTAATGCTTGCCTTTCTCTCTCCTGGCTTTGTTGTATAATTAGAAATATTCCAAGAAGATTTCACAGGTTCTTATAGAGAAGAATTCTGAGCTGCAAATCCTGAATCAGCAACTGATTAGCCAAATTCTTCATCAGAAAATGGAGTCGTCTATTGTTCAGTTTGTACAACAAGAGGAGTCTATTGATGTAAGAGTATTTGGGTTTATGAGACAACACAGACAGATGAATATTTGGCAAGCCACAGATAGCAAGAGGCAAAATAGCAGTTTTGTTATATAGAGGTGAAGCTTGAATTGAAAGGGAAGAGTGGCAAGGGCTAAACAAATGGTAATTAAAAATAGAGATCTATATCTAAGCAAGCATTTTGGGTACGAGTCAACATTGTTGCCCTTAAGAATGTATGAAGAATAGATGATTTGAGTAGAAATAGGTCCATCTTTGAAAAGGGGGAAATGCTATGTAGGTCTGTCAACTTCAATCAATAAAGGAAGCCTTTCTAGAATAGACTAATAATGGGTGGGTTTCAAATTTTTTTACTACCTATTGAGGGTGTAGCTTGGTGGTCATGTGACTGCATGGGCGTGGCCAACTTTTAAAATGTGGTGAAACGTACTTAACAATGCTCTTGCTTAGCAATCAAAATTTTGGGCTCAATTGTGGTCATAGTTTCTGTTTCTTTTTCTTTCTTTCTTTTTTTCTTCCTTCCTTCCTTCCTTCCTTCCTTCCTTCCTTCCTTTCTTTCTTTCTTTCTTTCTTTCTTTCTTTCTTTCTTTCTTTCTTTCTATCTGGGTCTTTTTCTCCCACTTTCTTTCCTTCACTTTCTTTTTTATCTTTGTCTCTCTCTTTTTTCTCTCTCTCCCTCCCTCCCTTTCTCTATCTTTCTTTCTCTTTCTATCTTTGTCTCTCTGTTTTCTCTCTCCCTTCCTTCCTTTCTCTTTTTTTCTCTCCCTCTTTCTATCTTTGTCTCTCTTTTTTTTTCTCTCTGTCCCTTTCTTCCTTCCTTCCTTCCTCTTCCTTCCTTCCTTCCTTCCTTCCTTCCTTTCTTTCTTTCTTTCTTTCTTTCTTCCCTTCTCTTTCTTTCTCTATCTTTGTCTCTCCCTCCATCACTTCCTTCCTCTTCCTTTCTTTCTCTCTTTTTCTCTTTCTATCTTTGTCTCTCTCTTTTTAATATCTCTCTCTCCCTTACTTCCTTTCTCTGTCTTTCTTTCTCTCTCTTTCTCTTTCTATCTTTGTCTCTCTCTTTTTTCTCTCTCTCTTCCTTTCTTTCTCTTTCTTTCTTTCTCTCTTACTCTTTCTTTCTCTCTGTCTCCCCTCCCTCTCTCTCTCACACACACACATCTCTTCCAGTTGGCGAAAATTTCTCTGCAAAGCCTCCCTGCCATCCCACCAACCTGGAGACATTCCCAGCTCTGCTGGATGGCCACTCCTTTGCATCCCGTTGCCGGCTGCAGTTGGCTTTCTCCTGGCAATCCTTCCTGGCTGGGAGAGACCTTCTGGGGCAGCCCCACTGCTCCAGCCATGTCTGGGCAGGCGCTGTACCCCCAGAGTGGTCACATGGTGTCGGTGTGTAGGCTGCTGACAGTCCCAAGGCTCACCCGGACAATGGCCAGAGCGATAGGGCTGCCCTGGAGAGGAAGGATCACCAGGAGAAAGCCAATTGCAGCCAGCAACGGGGCATAAAGGAGTGGCCACCTAGCAGCTACCGCATCCTGTTGCAGGCACCCAGGGTGGCCTCGACGCCACACCTCCCTGCCTCCTCCATCCCCACGCAACCTCCTCACCCCCCCCACTGACGTTGGGACACTCCCAGCTCTGTTGGCGTCCTGTTGCCAGCTGCAGTTGGCTTTCACCTGGCAATCCTTCCTGGCCAAGAGAGCCCTACCGCTCCAGCTGCATCTGGGTGGGCGCTGCACCCCCAGAGCAGTCGCATGGTGGTGATGCACGGGTTGCTGACCATCCCAGAGCCTGCCCAGACACAGCCAGAGCGATGGAGCTTCCCCGGAGAGGAAGGATTGCCAGGAGAAAGCCAACTGCAGCCGGCAACAAAATCTGAAAAGAAATTGCAAACGGTGTTCATGAGCTCAGCCAGCCAACCTCGCAGGTTTTCAAGCTCGTCTGGAGATGCATTTTTTTTTAAATAAAACCCCGAAAAAGCCGCAAGATCTGGACAGACAGGTAGTCGGTCTTTTGGGGGGGGGATCCCCAGAACCAGGTTGCCCAGCATCCCGTCACCGGATCGTATGGCTTTTTCAGAGTTTTTTTTAAGCTCTCCAGATGAGCTTGAAAACATCTGAGGTTGCTTCTGGAGGGCTCAGGCAGACGTGCAGCATTCCCCTTCTCTCTGAGCGTCTGCAGCCTCACAGCCTGCAGCAACTTGCACAGTAAAGGCAATTAAGAACTTCTCACACATGTGAGAATATTTTCTTTACTGGGCAAAGGCTTACTCCAAGGCTGCAGCAGGCTCTGAGGCTGCAGGCGCCCAGGGAGGGCGGGGAAATGCTGCCCGTCTGCCCCCTCCCAAAGCAACCTACGCAGGTTTTCAAGCCGCAAGATCCAGAGCCACCAGTCTCCGGTAAGATGTGCATCTCATGGCCCGGCTCACCCCATCCCCTGCCCCACCTGCCCCTCCCCCCCAAATTGCATCCCATTGTGAGTGTCCCTCAGCCGTTGTGTGCAGGGAAAACTCTTGCACAGAAAAGAAAAACTTCCCAAGAATGCAAGAAGCTGTTAATTGCCTCGCACTCATGAGTTTTTCTTTATTGTGCAAGATTTATCCCTGCACACAACGGCTGAGAGATGCTCATGGTGGGGTGCAATTTGGGCTCACCCCCACCCCAAGGCCCTCCTGCCTTCTTGCCCAGCGCCCGCTCAGCTGCCCCCTCCAATCCCCTGGCTGGATGCAGCCATTCGCCGGTGACTGGAAAGCGCGGTCGTCCACCGTCTGTTTGTCCAGCACTCACTCAGAGACCTCCTAGCTCCTACCCACCCACTCACCCACCCAGCCCCCCCCCCTGGGCGCAGGCACTCACCGGTTCTTTCTTCTTCTGGTTCCAAACTAAGCCCCAGTTTGGTTGGTTAAAGTGCAGGTTGGATCCTAATGCTCCATCACTGGAGGCTTTTTAAAGGGAAAACTTTTCAGTGGCTGGCTGGCAGAGAAAGCTCTCAGCTATGTCTGGCACCACTGCCACTCCTGCCGGCTGGGCCAGCAAAAGAAGAGAGTGGACAGGGCAAGCATGGTGTGGCTGGGCCGAGAGAGAGAGAGAGTGGTGACCGGGTGGGTGGGTGGAGCGAGCGAGGACAGACCAGGGGACCCTATCGGTATGGGATGTGGCCAGGCCACCACTGCTACAGGTCCGCAAACGTACGGCCGATTTCCGCTACAGGTATGCCCGTACCAGGAGCAGCCCACCCCTGGCTAATAACTGGTTGAGTTATGGACAGTTGAAACAGTACATTAATTCTTTGGAAATGGCATGAGCTTATCAAAAATAACGTATACAAAACCAACTTTACAGGTAGTCCTGATTGTCAGTTCATTCAGTGATTGATCAAAGTTACGATTAGGCTGGAAAAAATTAGCTTACAACTGGTTCTTGATATTAGCAGCACCCCTATGGTCAAGTGATCAAAATTTGGCTAGGCCACATTTACAGCTACTGCCAATCACTAGCCCTTAGTAAAACAAGTATGTACATTTTTATTCTAAGGCACCAAAGCAAGAAGATTCTATCATGAATATCCCAGCCATGATTTCTAACAGAGACGACAGTAAATTCAGGAGGGATAAAGGTTAGTCCATAAACAATTTCTGAACAGTCTGATCCATCTGTTATATAATGTTTGTCTAAGACTACTTTACTTTCTCTTCAGATGATTTGCAAACAACTGCTAGACTTGAGAAGGAGCTTACTAAAGCAAAAGAGGAGCTTGAATTGTTGACACAAAAAGAAAGAGAAAGCACAGTAAGTTTGAGGAATCCTGAGTTATCTACAGACAACTTTTAACACACAAAAGCAATTTACTAGTTGTACAGGTAATCCTCAAGAAATGACTGTAATTACAGCCACAAGTGGTGATTGCTATTAAGAGAAATGATATCACTTAATGATACTCACATCCTGCTCTCCCTGAAGCAGCTGTTAAATGAATACATGGGTCTTTAAGCAAAGCCTTAGGAGGTAAGGGAGTCCCTGGGAGGCCCCATGCAAGTTATACGGGTGCTACAGCATGAGCCCAGGAAGACCAGGGAAAGAAGCTGTAGCTACCCCAGTCTGGCCCAGAAGCACAATAAAAAGGCCCCTTGCCCAGGAAGCACAAAACACCTGGGAAGGTTCCACAGGGGGGCATGAAGCAGCCATCCCCCCAGTGCAAAACACAGGGAAATCTCAGAAATGTTTGACTTTATGGGGTGAGGGGGCTGTTTCTCACTCTTGAGTGTCAATGACTTTGGGGGCATTGCAGAGGCCATACATTTGAAACTGGGTCAACTTTCAACTTTATTGGGTTCCTCACTTCTAGGAAGTGGCTTTATTCCACACTTTGGCTTTAATGTTCCATAGACATAAATGGTTTTGTTTTTTATGGAGCACTTTCTCCATGACGGTTTGTCCTACTTTTATGAGACCCATAGAACAATGGAATTTGCAGCTCAATTTTTAGCTTGGTTAAAATAGTGTTTACTGCCTAACACCCATTCTTCCAATCAAAGGACGATAGCGCTGGACTCTTAGACCAAATTGTGCCAAATGGTTGGTCTATCACTATCAAAGGATTTAGGGATTTTAGGATACAAAATTATCTTCATTTGTTTTCTCCCATAGCTGAAACTCTCTGCTCTTAAGTCTGTGGTGGCTTCCCAAGAGGAGGAGCTTCAAGTTCAATCCTCTGATATTGAAGCTCTTACTAGAAGTACCCAGATCAAAGAAGAACTAATTAAGGTTAGATTGCTTACGAAAATATTTTCAGTTTTGTCTTTCTGCTGATTTTACGGTGTTGGTAGTAGTGAGCAAATGGTATTGCTTTCTTGTTTCTTTGTTTTTGTTCCAGAAAGTAGAAAATTTACATTTTAATATCAATATATTATACATAGTTATAAGCAGTAGGAATTTTAATATAAAACAGACCTGTTCATTTTGTCTTTATTCCCAGACCTGTGCTAGACTTTTAATTTGAAAGCTTCTTTGAAAATTAATCATATCATTAAAGTTTTGTTGTTGCTTTCCTCTGTCATGATGCGAACACCGAGTTTCTTTCTTTAATTCTCCAGGACATATTCTTGTTCTTTTTCAGGACTTGCAGATGCAATTGATTGATCCTGAAGAAATACCAGCAATTGAAAGACTTACTCAAGAAGTTTTGATGCTTCAGGAAAAGGTAGCAAAAATGGAAGCACAGGGACAGGAAGCCATAGGAAACAAGAGGCAACAGGTATGATTTAAAAGGTGTCATATGATGAATTCAAACTAGCATGACTTAAGCTTCTGTCCTGCCTTTGTTCAAAGGAAATGGGATTCTGTATATAGTGTTATTATTTTTATGGTATTGCTGAGATACACTGAGAGCCACTTTGGTATAGCAAGTAAAGTATCAGGCTAGAGATTGTGAGTGATTCCTTCCTTAAGCACAAAGTCAGGGTTCCACCACAAAACCGCGCTCGACTAAACCGCGCCCGACTAAACCGCGTCGCTGATGTCATCAACAGGGCAACAACAGCGCGGAGACAGAAGCACGCTGTAAACCCTAAGCCTAAAATTAACCCCTAAACCTAAACCTAACCCCTCTAAACCTAATCCTAATCCTAAACCTAACCCTTAACCTAACCCTAAACCTAACCCTAACCCTAACCCTAAACCTAACCCTAAACCTA